GAATGGTTCTTCCTTATCTGTGCTCATCCTGTTGTTTCTCCTGGGGCTCTCTGGCCCCAGGATGGGGCCTGTGCTACTCCTTTCCCTGGCTAGTGCTTTCTTCATGCTTCTGACTGGGGCTTTCCAGTAAGTAGGCAATTTGGCCTGTGCCCTTGCTCAAGACAATGTCAGGAAGTGGAGCTGGGAAGGGAAGGAAACACCTTGTTGGTCAAAGAGGTGCAGTACGGGGACAGGGAGGGAGCAGGGAGGGAACATAGCTCTTTGGGATGCATGCCTTGCATGAACAGTTGTTGTGATGTGCGCGCCCACGCTGCGGGGGGTGTAGATGCCCCATGGAGTTGCTCTGCTTCCCCAGGCAGAAGAGCGCCTTGTCTTCTGCAGCCTGTTGCAATTGGACTGAGATCCAGCCTCTTAACTGGAAGCGTTTCTGCAATGAGGTGCTGTGGCCGTTAGATGGCAGTGCAAGCCCACGGGTAATGTGGCACTGCACCTGCCTGCCCTGGGCACCAGGTAGCGGGGCAGGTCTGCCCTTACCAGTCTGTCCCCTCCCTGCCTGCAGAGTATTGTCCATCCATCCATGGGAAGTGGGTTGGGGAGAACAGGGCCAGGCTGTGACAGAGGGAGTATCCAGTGGAGAAACAGAAATTAGACCTCAATGCAGCTGTGGGGTTAGCCCCAGGATGGAGGGGAAGGGTGACAGGGAAGGATGGTGGGGCACTGGCATGTCTCTGTGGGAGGAAAGCCAGGACTGAGGGCACAGCTGCATGGGGGACCCAGGAGGAACCAAGACCAAGGGACCTGTGATTGTGAAGGGAAACTTTGCAAGGAGTTGACTCTGCCAGTGCCACCCCCCATGCTCAGGACCTGCCCAATCCCACCTCTGCCTTTTCCCCAGGCCCTTTATATGGAAAGCTTCCCCAGGTACTCCTCAGGTTCTCCCTCTTTCCTTCCTTCCACAGTGGCCCTGGTCCTGTCTTTCCCCCCACAAGCCTAAAACACGAGGCTGGAAAATGATGCAGACTCCTGGCCTCTGCCCATCGGAGCGGGGCTCCAGCTGGGACCCTGCACCACGAGGCTTCTCCATTGACACCACGTGGCATAGTCTTTACAGATGCAACAAGGAAACCGTATCCCATGTGCAGGGCAGCAGGTAGACCAGCCGCAGCAACCGAGATGGGAGCAGACAGGTGTGTGCTGGCTTCACAGGCAAGTGCCATCCACTGCGCTCAGCCCAGGGGATACCCAGGGCAGGGGACAAACAATGCCCAGAGGCTCCAGCCAGAGAGATTGCAGAAGAAGGGGCTTACGGGGGGAGGCAGGCAGGTTTGCTCCTGGGTGCCTCGCTCTGAGATGGCTGCACTCAGCAGGGGCCTGGCAGGGTGCACATGATAGATATAGGTCTAGGTAATGTGCCCCACAAATCTGAGGCATCGCTGGCACTGAATGGTGCCCTCTCCTGCCCTAATGTTTTCAGGACAGCCAGTGGGCTCCCCGCTCTGTCTCTGCTCTCAGCTGCTGGCTTTGACCCTCTGCGAGCAGCCAGGCTCACTCCATTGCCTGCTGGCCAGGTGCTGCTGTGAGAGGCAGTAAAACAGCTTGTATATAAAGCTGCTGTGGGCAGTGACATGCCCGTGTAGCCTGCCAGCTGGTTTTGCATGGCAGCCTGGTGTGGTTTCTATGCCAGCTTCCTGCTCCAGAGCTGCTTGTGGGAGACGGGCCCTAAATTGCAGGCTGTTCTGCCCCTTAGCTGTGCCATACCCCCCAGTGGGGCCTGCCAGAGCGACCAGTGGGGTCTAAACTCACGTGTGGTCTGGTACTTTGAGCTATGGACCTGTGAGCAGGAAGCTAGTTTCACTGCCTTACTGTGTGACTTAAGCAAGCCCCTTCAGCTGTCTGCACCTCTGTTTCCCCTATGTCTGACTAGGGCTTATGTCTTGAACACGCTAGGCATGAAGTGTGTTGGGATCCATGGATGGAAGAGCCTGTAGCAGGGCAGCATATTTAGAGAGCGAGTGAGTGTGCATGCACGTGCCCTCAGTGGATAGGGCACGGGACTTGGAATCAATTGCTGGTTTTGCCGCAGCCTCTGCCTGGCCCTGGGCACATCACTTAATCCTAGGCCATCCCCTCCTCTTCCTGGGACACGGTCACCTCAAGTGCTGGGAGAGTGAAATCCCTTTGGACTGGCTGCTGAAGGATCGGGGTAGCTCTCTGAGATGGGCAGCACTTTTATTTTTGTATCTTGTCAGGGTAATTTGTGAGGTTGGCTGGAAGCAGCAAATCAAGCCCTGGAACTGAGACAATATCAAGGAAGAGTGTGCAGAGGATCCTGGGCTGGATGGTCTGAAGGGACCCAACCTGGCAATGAGTCAGTAATGCACCAAGAGGAGATGCAACCAGGAATGGATGTGGGGGGGATACAATCGCATCCCCCTTTGATTCTTGGTCCACCCCGGAAATGAGTGAAATGCCACTAACTTAAATCCTGGGCTTATTTTTGGAGCCTGGCCCACGTAGTGAGCTTGTTGCTTTATTGGCGGGACAGTGCCTTGATCATGGCTACAACCGTGGGCAAGGCACACTCAGTGGGCAGGTCAGTGCAAGTGCAATGCTCTGTGGGAGATGCTTCTTAGTTGTCAAGCTGCACAGGGTTTGGGTTGCTGCCCTCAGACCCAGCTCCTGTCTTTTCTGAAGTGTAGGCCATTCAGTCCTGGGGGCGCAGGTCCACCTATAGCTAAGGGGCACTTGCACCATTTACACCTGCATGGAGAGCTGGGTGCAGGCAGGGGTTTCAGCTGTGCGGTGTGCTCCTGGAGCCGGGCTCCCCCAGATCACAGGGATGTTTGCAGCCTGCAACTGTCACTGCAAATTCACCAGGCCATAACCTCCAGGCTCTGGCTCACCTCCAGCCTGCCACCCCTCCCCTGGGCCACCGCCTCAGCCTAGTCGCACTTAATACCATTGTTATCCCAGCCCAGGAAGCTGCCTGCCTGTTGCTGACGTCAGTCGCTGCTGCCTATTTACCGTAGCTCAAGGACTGGGTTTCCCCTTTTTGCAAAACCACTTGCTGCTCTCTCGAACCCATTCCCATCCTAGCAATGGGCTCCCATCCAGACCTGTCTAGATATGTCCCTGAGTGAGGAAGTAAATGTCACCGGAAATGGCAGCAGCCCACGGGAAAGAGGAAGAGGCAGAGTCTGAAAGCATCCACTTATCCTACAGAGGAAGTTGGGATAGGCCCGAGGTGAGCTCACTTTCTCAATGTGCATTTGCCATTATTGGCATCCAGCACAGCGCTTGTTCCAGAGCCTAGCTTCTTTCCTCCCCTATCGGGAAACTGTGCAGCCCTGAGAAACACTTTGGTTTGTTCCTTCCTACCCCAAGGCACAAACTTTGGTTTTCCAGTGCGGTTCATCCAGCCAGGGGGCTGTCGCTCACCAGGTCTCCAAGAGTCACTCACTAAGGAGATGTCACCCCCCCGGCTGGCTGTTACAGTGGTATCAAGCACAGCCCCAACCTGCCCTACTGCCTCTGTGGGGTTGGGGGTGGTGGTTCATTAAACTCTTGGACACTGTGCACAAAGCAGATGATGTGATAGCCCTGCCTGTAAATGGTGTGTGCACAAGACCATGCCTGTGTATGGCTGTGGAGGTTGAGGAGCCAAGTGTTCACTGACCCAGTAGGTTGAAGGGGGCATTGTAATGAATTCTGAGCAGCTCTATTTGCCTTTCCCATCAGGCTTGTTTACATGGGGAAACGGATGGGAATAGCTGCCAGAAGGCTGTGAGTGTAGTTATGGGCAGCTGTTGCACAACAGCATTTCCGGTTAGCAGTTCTGTCTAGCTGGACCTTGAGAGTCGTGAGTGGTGTGCTAAGGGCTGCAGAGCAGGAGAGGCTGCCTGTTAGGTATGGCTGCTCGGGGGATGGCCTCCCGTTCTAGCACAGTGCAGACAGGCTTGTGAACGGCGCGACCTCCTCTTCTTGCAGAGCTGCTCCCCTTTTTGTTTCAGCACCAGGCAGGAAAAGCCTAGCTCACCTCCTGCAGCCATCAATAGAAATGAAGCTGCCTCCCTGTGGGTCTTTGGCCAAGTCCACATCCACCTTGGGTGCCAGCTCCTAAAGTCCCTGACCTCAAGGGAGTTTGCAGCCCAAGCTTTGCAGGCTAGGGTCAGCTTTTTGCTGTTACCTGCCGGTGCTCAGACAATTATAAATTTGAAGATTGAACCCCTTTCTTTCACCTAGCTCAAGGCAAGAGCCTGATGCTACCGCCAGGCCTGAAGCAAACCGTGGCTGGGTTTGTCTGTAGCTTTTTTGTGACGTGAATAACCTCAGCAGCAATGGTCTTCATGAATTCACTGAAATGAACTCCAAATAAGCAAGGGTCTAGGAAATCAGGTGAATACCTTCAGACCTGACTCCTCTACTCCCTTGCACCTGTCAGTAGCAAAGGCAGGTGCACGTTTGCTGTTCATCACCAAGACTGAACACTTCATACCCAGCAACAGGCACCCACCACACTGGCTAGCATGAAGGTGAAGCGCAGTTTTAAATCAGGCTCAAGCATCTGGGGAGGAAAGGCCAACGTGCAGTTGAAATGGCTCAGTTTGACCTAAATGCAGAGATGTCAAAGGAGAACCAGAGAGCTGAGATCGGAGCCTTTAGTCTTGTGTCTTGATGGAGTAGCTGTTTCCAGCTAACAGCCTCAATAGCTCTATGTCTTTGTCTTCCATGGCTGCACCCAGTGCAGTATGGAAAAGTGTCTGGTGGGGAAGTAGAGGACATCTGAGTATAGATGGTTCACAACTGCAAGCCTTTTGCCTCTCAGTCTGACACTGGTCTGATTCCAGCTCAGGTTGCTAGGGAGGCACCATGGCTACTGGCCACCCTATATTACAGATGGCTGGCTTATGTGAAGTGAGTTGGAGGACCTTAGTGCAGAGGGGTCAGAAATAGACTGGTTGAATGGTGTGTGGCTGCTCCCAGAGGGAAGAGGAATATTCAGTGACATTCACTGACAACCATTGACAGTGCTTGCACTTGCATCTTTTCAGTGCCACATGGAAACGAATGCCATTTGCCAAGCTAGTCAACTGCACGCACCGTGGAGAAGTTTTCCTTTTGCCCGCCAGGTCAGGGCTGAGGTGGTGGGGGGAGTAGAGTGGATATTTTTGTCTGATCTTTGCAAAACCAGAATGTTATATTTCACCAGCACCAACTGCCTTTTTCTTTAAAGCAAAGCTGGTGGATCACCCATAAAAACCCAGAAACACAGCTCTATCAGCAAGCTCTTTATTTGGAGATTGGCTCTCCCACAATGGTACGTTCTAACTGGCAAGGACATCAACCCTCCATGCACAAGGCAGGACTCCTTTCTTCCAGTCCAGTTTCTTCTTCCAGCATGTCTGACGCTCTTACGCAGCCTTGTAGGAGGTAAATGGGAAGGTGGGCTGGTCTCCACACTTGCTTTCTTAATTCTTGATCATCTTCTCTGTTTTTTCTTGTGTTTGTATGAAAGACTTATAAATCAGGGGACCTATAAAACTGGTGGTCACTGCCTTGTTTCACCCCTGCTGTCAGCTAGTTCTTATCTGCAACACTGGGAACTTGTTGGCACACATTTCAGGCAGAAGTGCTAAAGCTAACTACGCTCCTACAGGTCCCACTTTGTCTAGGAGTCAGAGGAGTTATGACAGCTGGGCCCACCTCTGAATGATCTATTAATTTTGCTTGGGCTAACAGGGAGGTACTGGTACTGGGGTAAGCTTGACTGAATGGCTCGAAACAAGATTGCTGCCCTAATACAATGAGGAGGAGAAGAATGGAAGAGCCAATGCTTAGCTAATCAGTCATGTTCCCCATTAGATGAGAATAAGTTTGCATGCTGCTGTTGGCCTGGCGTAGGGTGGGACCGCTTGCTAGGTCACCTCCTTTATTGCAGAACAGTGGAAGCCATGTTCTGCAATGGTGGTCCTTCCTGTCCTATTGAAAGGAACTGACTTCTTCCTCTCAGCACTTAAGCAAGCTGGCAGTGTTACTGGCTAAGGAGAAAGAAGTTTCTTATGCAAGATTTGGCAGCTTAGAATCATAAGACTACTACATTATTGTGGCACCAGGTGGAAAGGGACTTACTGGCTACCGATAAGATATACTGGGGCAAGGGGAAAGAGAGAGCACGCGAGCACCTAAACATAGTAGAAAATATAGACAGGCTCCGATGGTGGTTTTGTTTTCCCCAAACTCCTGTGCTGTGATGCTAGTAGGGGGGCTTGTGGATTTGGGTTGCCGTGGATTTGATCAGCTGAGCATTGTGCAACATGTAGAATATCATAAACCCGATGCACACCAGCCCGATCACCAGGGCAAGGATATTGATGGTTTTGGCAGTATCGGAGGCCTTCTTTGCTCCGGCGATGTCTCTCCGTGCTAGACACTCCTCCACCTGCGGACAAAGGCATGGGCCGATCAGTATTGGCACTTTGCTGGAGGAACCCAAAAGCCAGGGCTTCCCAACCTTCCCCTCAGCATGACCCCGTTTAAACACTGGAAATTTATTGCAACCCCAAAATGACATTGACTTCCCATAACATTCCAAGTGCTTTGCGTAGGAGCTGCAACTCCCATCCGTGGACAAATAACTGCCATGTGTGGGAGTTGCTTGTTAATAAACAGGAAGCATGTTCATCATAATCAGTCGAGACGGTGGAGCGTCTTTGCCATTCCATTCTTTATCACTGCAACCCCAAGGTTGGGAACTGCTGCCAAAAGCAATGTACAAATGGGGCTTGGGAAGGGGGAGAGAGTGGATTTATTTTACAGGAGTGTTAAAAGCAGCAACACCAAGTTCTGATCCTTTGAGTGAGTGTAAATCGTATCCTCAGTTTGGATCAATCAGTCAGTGCAGTAAGTTCCAGCTGTGACTTGTGTTTGCCCACAAGGTCTGGCCCTTAGGAGAATCCTGGATCCAGTATTTTCTTGCATTGTCTCTGTAGTATCTTTTTTTTGGTCACCCTAATACCTTGGATGCTGCAGGGAGTATTTAGGAGAGTAACATTTAAGGCTCTAAACCCACAGTAGTGGGGGGAGTGTTGCCTTTATTCAGGCTGAAATACTCCCTGTTCTGGAAAAACTCACTTGCATATTAGTGAGTGGTATTTAAAAGCAGGTGACAGGACAGGAGTGTCAGCAACTGTGGAGATCTCTTAGGACTCTTTACTAGAGTCCCTCTTTCTAAATTCAAAGATTTGAGCAAGGGTGTACTTGGTAGCCGTGTTGGTCTAAGACAAAAAGACATACAAAAAACTAGAACTCTTGGTTCCAAAACGATACCTTTTATTAGACCTACTGGAAAATGGCAAGAAAAACAGCTCACAAAGACACACTCATGGACCCAGAGGGACAGATTTCCATCTTCAGTTCCCTCTGTGCAAAAATGAAGTTTATTTCCTACCTATGGGGATTTTTTACCATCTTGCACCATCTACACTTTTCCCAGAGCCCGAGGAAGGGACTTTGATCCCGAAAGCTTGCAGAAAAGGACAGTTTTCTTGCCATTTTCAAGTTGGTCTAATAAAAGGTATCATTTTGGAACCAAGAGTTCTAGTTTTTTGTATAAGATTTGAGCAAGGAACTCAAATACAGAGAAAGGCTCAATATAATGACTTTACACTCTCTTAACATCTTTTAACTAAGGCTCTCCAACCACTTTCCAAACACTCACAGATAGTGTGCATCACATTCTCATTTTAGAGGGAAGGGAGACCAACTGCTGATGGTTCCCAAATCCGTGGCAGCAGTGGAAAAAGAACCCATGAGTTCTCTCTCTTGAGCCTCAGGCTAACTGCTGCCACTGTGAATTGAATTTGGGTTCAGGGGCACGATTTTGCTTTTCATTTATTCTAGGAAGGACTTGGCTTCAAAATGGACACATGCCCCTTCAAAATGAAGTTAGCAGAGGATAGGTTCTCCTGGGGCAGCTGGGACCCCTCTACATTTTTATGCGTCGACACCAGCCCTTTGTCAAATGGAAATGATGCATTTAAATGCACCATCTTTTGTCTGACCTTTACAAGCACATTAAAGATCATGTGGTCCCAAGAAGAGGCACCAGATCTGCCTTGATTTTGTTAAGCCGTCTCTGTGGAGCAGTGTCAGCAGAGCCTGCCTGGCTGCTTCAATACATCCAGGTGAAGACAGACAATTAAAGCTTTACTAGCACAGAGGGGCTGGTCCTCAGGGAACTGTCACTTTGCTCCAACATGAAATCTTTGCCCTTTTAAGGCATACTTAGCTACCTGCATTAATGGCATCCCACACAACTGTTTTTCTGTAACATGCAAAACACCAGCTCTCTATCTGTCTTGCTCACAGGCCTGCTTCACTTCTGCAAAGGGGCTTTCCAGCTTTAGCCCAGCTCTAGAAAAGCCTCAGGGATAACATGGGTCTTTGCTGCTCTCACCGGGGCTGAAAATGAAGATACAACCTTGGATGTCACAAGTGTCTTTCAGCACAGGGCAAGCAGCAGAAGGTCAAAGATTTGACATATATGCAAATCAAAAGGCAAATCGAGAGGCTTTTTCTGAGCCTCTAATATGATGTTTTAAAACAGCTCCCAGGTTACATGCAGGCCTTTTACATTCTTAACTGTTCCTTTTACCTTCTTTCTAACCAACTTCCTCTTTTTTTTGTAATTTCCCTTTCTAAAGTTTCAATGTCAATGTGGTGAACTTCTTTGGTTTCTTCCCTCCCTCCAAGAATACTTACCCTAACCCTAATAGTTACAAATTTCCTCCTTCTGATTATAGGCATAGACTGTAACCAAAATCAGTCACAAGGACCAGAGCTCCAGGTCTTGTTTCAGAAGGTGCAGGAACAGTGGAGGTTAAACCCTTCTCTGAATCAGGACCAAAACCAGTGCTACAGCATCCTTTACTGTATGCCATGAGCATGAGATGCTACAAGTACAGTAGACTAATTCTAATGTGCATTAGCCACAGAGCACCCCCAACTCCTGCCCCACCAGACACCTCCACACCTGGCCCAGAGATGGGGACACACACCTAGAGAAGGCAGGTCCACAATGGCAAGAGGGGAGAGCCGAACCCCTTCTTTACCTGGCTCTGGGTACCTGGTGCTGAGGAGGCACCGCTTACACTGAGCTTGGCAGACCAGAGCCGCGGGGGCACCATGGCTGCAGGGAGAAGTCCCAGGCAGCGAGCACAGGAGCAGAAAGCAGGTCTCTAAGAACGAAAGTGCGAGTTTTGGCGTGAAGCAAAGACGGCTCAGGCTGCCTTGAACCCAAGCTCCCTGCCCAGCAGAGCTGCTGTGTACAGGACTCCGGGTCCCCACATCTGGCGGCGCAGAAAATGCAAACAGTGAGGGCAGCGGGCGGTCTTGCACGCCAGTCTGCCCACCTCGGAAGCCCCTCAGCCTTACACTGCAGCTCCTAGCTTCCTTTTACCCACAGAAAACTCAGCGGGGTGGCATGTATAACCATGCCCCGCTTTCCCAGGTCCTAGGTGGGGTCGCGGCATCCCCGGGCAGCGGGGCTGGAGCCCCCGCCCGAGGCAGCATCAACCCGCTCCAGCCCCGGCCCCGGCCCCGGCCCCGGCGCGCCCCCACCCGCGGGGCCGCCCCACCTGTCCCGAGCAGCACAC